ACTTACAAAATTCTCTTAACAATAAATAAGACTGTTATTATCACAAAAATGTAGTTTTATTACATTGGGTGCGTTCGAGCTACGTAATAATTCCCTAATTTTATGTTGCTTTTGATTTGCCAATGATGAGTACCTGATTGTCAAAATTTTGTTCGCCCAAACTTTCGCGTAGATCGTGATACTCTTTCATAAAAGAGTAACACCGCCGCATTAATTGCACCTCGAATACAACCATTTCTTACCTATACTGTGATACACATTTGAATTATTTAATTCATTTAATTAAAGTTGAATTAGATTTTTTAAACCTTGGAAGGTTCCTTAGAGATAAAGCCTTTTCAAACCCATTTCCATTGATACCCATATTGTAGCTATTCATTTAACTAATTGAACAACATTTTTTAACAGGTGGCAACTCTGTTAATGTTTAAACCTGTATATACTTGATTTTCAACATTTACAATTCTGTATGTGATAAAACGTTTTTTTTTCTTTAAACATTTCGAGTTGAGATATTCATAAAAATAATTTTGGCCGCATAAATCGACTAAATACCCCTATGTGCGGGGGTGCTATTGTATTGGCCAATACTGTATATGTCGCGTAAAGAAAGGCTTAACGCTTCACTTCCACTTATGTACGTCCACTTATATAAAAATAAAAGTCCCTGCCAAAGTGTCTTTGCCTAAGGTAAATCTAAGCAGTTAATAAATAACCCAAAACAGAAAACACAAAAAGATCGCACAGAGTGATTTGTCACGGTGATAAACATTTTTTGCTTGAGAGATGAGTGCTTGGGTCAGTGGTAAACACCATACAAAACAAGGGTTGAGGGTTATTTTCGATTTCTGATTTTAACACTTCGCTGGCTTAGAGTAAAAAGTTGCTAAGTCCACTTTTTATGAAAACTCATATTTTGGTATATAGAGAAATTTAAAATGCATTGTTTCGAAAAGGATAAAGGAACTTGGGTTATTTATTCTCGTTTACATTCAATGAAAGGAAAATGTGCTAAGTCCAAAATAAGTACAGAAAATCCGATAAGGCCAAACTAGTACGAAATTTTTTAATAAAGATAGGATCCCTGATTCGGTGGGAATTTTGCTTTTCTTTGAATAGGCAAAAAGTTGTGTTGAAAGTTTTGCGAAATGCTTGAAGAAAATGGCTATACGAATTTTTTTCCCTCTCCTGTAAAATTTTTAAAGTGGGATTTAGCAACTTTTCACTCTGAGCTAGCGACCTTTTTCATGATTTGCTTTTGATATTTTATTCTTTTGAAGCAACTCGAATGAGCCCTATTGCGATATTTACCAAATGATTCAAGTAAATAACAGTAATTTTGTTAACTTGTTGGGCCTTTTCGGGCAAAAAGGGATATATTTTGGATTCTTGGCTTTAAACTTTTGTTCGCTGTGTCTGCTTTCTTTGACTATTTAAAGTCGAAATTTGAGATCCTTTAAAAAGGATTTCAAGCAGAGATCTGAAGAGTTATAAAGAGAGTCCGTGCTCGTAATAAATAAAGCCGCTAAGTTTGATCGAAAATTTGTCAAATATCTGTTGAAAAACTCGATGGATCGCTAGTTTTTTTCTACTTTTTTCATTTATAGAAATTACTTAAAAATATAAGCAAACAAATGCAGAAAGATGTGCTCGACAATCAAATGCCTTCGTCGGAGCTGAGTACCAAGATTTACTGAAGTACATACATATAGGAGCCGTTCAGTGCACACATCGATTAAATCCAATAACAAAAAGTTGGGAGATGCGATCAAATAATGTACATTATTTTTTAAAATTACATTTATATTATAAAATTAAATAAATAATGTTGTTATAAATGTTATGTACTATTGTATGTTATATAAAGTTACTATAAACGTAATAAGTTATGACTACACCAAGTGCTTTGACACTTAAATTTAGGATTTTCCAAAAAGTGGAGTTAGTCGTTGTGTGCACTGAACGGCTCATATGTATGTCCTCAAATTTTAGGGCCCTCGGAAGATTCTTTGAAGGACTATGAAAGTGGACAATAATACTCTCTACTCAGCTTCCGCGAGAACGTTTGGGTGAGTGGTAAGTATTGAAAATGTCCTTTTAAAACTTTATCCTTGAACTTTCGCAAAGCTTGTTTTTGAAAAAATTATATGTTAATGACAATATAAACTCGATAACATCCTCGAATTTCATCTTTCATCAGCTTAAAAAATTACCTATTCGTCCGTGTGAATCCAAAAAATTTAATTTTTTTTAATTCTAAAGAAATTTCCTCTTGCATTTGGTACCCATATTTTTATTCTACATTGCATTGAATTTTTTAAATAATTTTTGGAATTAATCATATCTTTTAAATTACAAAGTCCTTTAAAATAAATCCTGACGTCAGAGAGAAAAAATAAAAACGCCTCTTTAAATAAAACGGTAGGTTTCAAACCCATTTATTTATTATTTATTTTATAGTAGAAGAGCTTCTCAAATAATATAGACGCAATTCTCTCTATTTAAGTTGTTGAAAAGTAATGAATGTCTAAATCCCGGGACTGATCCCGGGACCCCGAGATTGTTATAACGACATCCCAAAAATACCGGGATCGTAAAAAGCGAGAAAATTAACATCCCTAGTCGCGAACAACATTTAAGCAAAACTTGGTTAACAATTTCTCGTTTTAGGCAATTTATTTTAACCGATATTTTACTTTTTCCAGCCCTAGGGGAGGCAATGGCCCCCGCTCTGTAGCCGCCATTGAGCTTCTCGATACCTAAAAATATATGTATGTAGATATGTACATATAAGCTCGGCTACTGAAGTAAAGCAACGTACCTATTCAAGTGAAGCGGTGTGCATTTAATGAAATAAGAAAAATTTTTTTTTTTAATATTATGTTCAAATTTTATTTAAAATTCGTATTTAATAACTTTATACGCTAAACAGTGGGAATGTTTTTAATAACTAATTTAGTATGCCTTTTATAAGATAATTACTACATGTGTTTTAGACTTTCGTATACCGTAATATGTATGCTTGTAGTTGTATTGCCGTATGCTATATTGAAACTTTCTTAAAATAACGTAGTACAAAAACAAACAATTTTACATGTACTACAGATATACATATGTATGTACTTACATACATACATAAATATTTACGCTTGTATGCACATACATATGTATGTGTTTTAATCTGTTACATTTCTTGTTTACCGATATTTTTTTTATTTATTTGCCTAAAAAATAAGCTTTAATGAAATCAAACTAAATTGAAGACAAACAAAAAATCCAAAACTTTTAAGGAGCTTACATAATTTGAGAAAAGAACATTTGTGCACAAATTTGTGTCTAAGTATGTATACAGCACATACATATCCGTCGGGTAGGCGTAACGTTTTTACTCTAATTATAACTCTAATCAATGGAAAAAATGGTGATTTCACATTCTTTATAAATATATATAACGCTGAATAAATGTGTTTCACCAGCAAACAAAAAAAATATATTTGTTTTCTTCCGAATTGCAGATTTAACTTTTTGCTGTGTAGAATAGATTAAAAGTTATTTTGTATTTGTGTTTTATATGGATATGTTGTCTAAGGCGATAAATATGGCAAACATTTCACTTTTGTTTTTCAATCACGTAAGCGCATTTAACAATAGACTTTTCCACGTGAAAAGCCTACGTAAATTTATTTGAAAAAAATACAAAAATCAAAATTTTCGCACATATTTTACCGCAAAAAAATAATAATATGTATGTAATTAAAATGATATCTGTGTTCGTATGGAATAGTAGCTAGTTATGTCGGGAAGGTGGCTTTAGTATAATGCGGCGTTCCTTTTATTCTTTAAACGACAATGAATTTTTTGATGGGACTTAATAAGAATATTGACTTGTTAGTATCGGAACTACTTCTTGCACGTTTTTTTGCCAAAAGTTCTTCAACGGTTCGGCGCCCGTGAGTCATTCGCAATCGTATGCAGCGAATGCTGCATTATAATAAAGCCAGCCTTTAGAGATAAGCTACTTACTATTCCATACGAACGCAGCTATGTGTTTAGTAATATATGTGTGTATGTATGCCATCGAGGATGGCTATGTGTGTGTTTGCATGTAATAGTGTTTGTATAGAACACGTTTGCCAAATATCTTCATGCATGCTTTCATAATTTTTTATGTTTACTTAAACCTCGAAATGATTGTGTTTGATTTTACAAACATTTGTGGCATTTTAAATACACATGTATTTATTTACTCATACATACTCCTAAGTATGTACCTACTACGTAAAGTACGGTGGGCAAGTCTAGGCAATCTGTCACTTAAATGCATTTTGCATGTTTTAAAAATCTCAAACGTATATTCTTAGAAATGTTAAAAAATACACAATATCTACTTGGCGTATACGCACACTTACACCCTAAGCGCTGAGTAACTAAAAGAGGTTTCATTGCATTACTGCAAATGTCCATTCTCATTGAACGCTAAACGTTCGATTATTCGATAATTTGGATTAAATTTGTTCGTTTTGTGTTTCCGCACTTTGCTTAAGCCTAAACTTCACGCACTTATGAACTTAACTGCTACATATGCTAAGTAATGGCGTAGTTGTTATTTCTTCACAGGAAAATATTGTAAAAAAAAAAATAAAATAAAACAGAAAACAAGGAATCTCTGCTTATTTGTGTAACTCAAAGTTTCAAAGTGTTAAGATTAAAAAAAAAAAAAAAAAAAATTAAATCGATCACAGTTGTTTGGGCGGATTTCGTTTATGATAAGTGAGTGTATTAGTTTTTCGCTTGTGGTATAATAAATATACACCCTCTTTGTAGTGGCACGCTTATGAAGAAAGTGGAAAGTTTAAAATTAGAAAAAAAATACAAATAACCACTTGTGTATGACACAAGTTTGTTATGGCCTACAACAACAATAAATATTTAAAAATAATTCACATTTAATTCAATGCGGAATTCAATTCGTACTCGTACCTACTACTTGCATTGTCAGCTTGAATTACATAAATACATATTTGAAATACAATAAAAATATATATTTAAAATTTGCTTGAGTATTTGAGTTGTCTACCGTCTTTTGTTTGCTTATTTGATTGTTTTATGAATTTCTAAAAGTGACTAGATTAAGATGTTTTCGCTTTTCATTAAATAATTTACATGAAATGAGGTCAGTTATGAACAAAGAAATTGCTCAATTCGTATCAGATTCCTTGGGAATGTTGCGTATGTAGCTTGTGTATGTACCTATATGTACGTATGCATGTATGTTTGTATGTAGGCAGATATAAGTAATACTTCAGAGGTCAATGTCATATTAATAAGCGGTCTATCATCACGACACGTACATACATATAATCGTTGTTTGTATGTATGCCATAATAATAACAAAAATTTGGCGCTTACACTTCAGCTGAGTGTTTGACCGAGCTTCTCCCCCAATTTGTGGTGTGAGCCTTGAGGCATCTACTGTCTTACGCCACCCCCGAATGGCAAATGGCTTTTATGAGAAGCTTTTACATAGCAAAAATACACTCGCCTGCCGAGGGGTGACCGCTGCTGGGCCGAGCCTAGACCGTACGGAGTGGTGGTAGCGCCGCCTTGAATGACATTGTCGCGGCCTCAATTCAGTCAAATAGTTCTCTTATCACTTGTTCCTAGCGTATTTTAAGTGAGCAGCTCCTAAAAAAGCTAATATTTTAATGCCACAGAGGCCCAGTGCGATGCCCAGCAGAGGTTTTCTCAATTCCCCCTACATATTTTGGTATAAACTGTAAATCTTTTGAACGAACGAGGCGGTGCTTTGCGAACTTTCCAGACGTTTGTAAAGACAATACCACAGAAATATAAAACGCAAAGTGCTGTCTATTTTCCAACTGGATATTTTGAACCGTAAAGTTTAGAGGCTGCAGGCCTCGTTCATATGCCCGCGAAGGGCCGCATGTTCGTCTTGTCTCTGGGGTTTTTGGTTAATTTTTGAAAATCGGTGTACATATATATATATATATTTTTTATGTATGTATATATGTATTTTTTTTATTTTTGTGTAATACGCATCGCTACAAAAACACTCGCTCACTCATTTTCACGTTTGTTAACAATTGAATTGTATTTTGCTTGTTTTTGCTTTCGTTCGCTGAAAATGGCATTCTTCGAAGCTTCCACCTAAACACTGTGAAGGATTGCAGTCACTTGTCGGAAACCAGACTAACGGGACATACTTACAAAAATATACTTATAGTATGTCATAAGTCGAAACATTTCCGCCCTACTTTCATATGCTTGCAGTCGTCGTCGTTTGGCGTGATTTTCATTTAGGAATAGAAAGTAAACACTTGAACAAAATCGAATCGAAAATGATCTCATACTCCAGGGGATGTGTGCACATACCACCTCTTTCGTTACAGCTTCAAGGTGAAAGCGTTCTGCCTATGTGTGGTGGCATATACGAGAGATTGCATTTAATTGCGCCTAGTGCCGTTCGTAGCTTTCGTATGCAAATTATTATATGACATTTTTCTTTTTTTTTTAATTAAATCGCTGCCACTCTCTGCGCTCTTGTCACCTTCAGCTTCTTTATTTTCGGCCGAATGTTTCAGTTTCCAAATTTAAATTAAATTTGAGAATTGTAGCTTTTGTGGTGTTTCACCATTGCTGGATCCATGACATAATTGTTTGCCTCAGCCATTTGCATTGGCAGCGGCGGCAATTTGTCATTGGGATGGCGATGACTTCCACCTGCTTTGCGTCCTTTACCAGCAGCCAATTGGATTGGTGTCGCTATTGTACTTGAAGTTGTGGATTTCGTGCTGGTGTTGGAAGTAGTGTTGGTAGTGGTGACGACCGCAGTAGTCGATGCTGTTGCTACTGCTGTCGTAGTTGTTGCTGGTGTGGAAACTGCGGCCGTAGTGGCAGGCGTAGTTGTCGCCGCTGACGAGACTGATACTTCGTTATCTGCCCCGGCGGTATTTGCAATTGAATTTTGCTGATTAGCAGCATTGTTTGGTGACGCACGCGTGCCGCTGGGAGAGGCCGGCATAGCGCTGACATTTCGCGTGGTTGAAGTGGAGCTTGTTGACGGGCGTCCCGTTTTCACATTGGCGAAAACTTTTGTCTGCTTAAGTAGCGAGTGATCGTTGCACAGGGCGGAGATTAGCGGTAAATCTAAATGTTTGCTCTTCTCCCGTAGTACAGCGATGTCCAGTGGATTTGTGCCTGCATTGTTAGTGCTTGGATTGCCGTTGGTGCCATGGCTGGTATTGTTGCTACCACCAGTGGCGTCCTTTGACTTGCTAGCTGCTGCTAAATGAGCAGTGTGTCGATTAGCTGCTGCTACACTGGCTTGAAGATGCGCCAAAATGCTGCTGCCGCCATTATATGATATCAGATCAGGTTTTGGGCGTTCACCAGCCCACTGCGCACCGCTGGACGTGCGCGTCATATTATTGACACTTCGATTAGTGTTTAGTGTGGGTGGCTTGCGCGGCGGCAACTGACTGCGCATCGGTACTTGGTTTTTCGTGGGCGCAACATTGCAAGCGGACGGTTTTGAGGGAACTAAAAAAAAGTACAAGTGACTAGTGTTGTAAAGCGTGTTGACAATTGAGTGTTGCGCAGTACTTACTTGGCGGCGGCTTTTCGGATGGTGCTGGCATGGGTGGTTTCTTTAAACGCCGGTTTACGTATGGCGGCGGTGGTGGAGGAGGCATACGCTTCGCCTTCGGTAGTGAGTCAAGTGAATTTAAAATATTGTCATCTGATCGTGAGCGTGCAAAAAAGTTTGTGTTGCTTACGTTGGTCGCTGCTAAGGTGGCTGGGTGCAGGGGAGGCGGCGGTGGTGGTTCATACGAGGAGCATAAGCTGGCCATGGAAGGACTGTAGAGCGGTGAGTAGGTGCTCGGTAGCTGAACGTAAGTGTCTGACAGATTTTGCGTCGATGCATAGCGTGAATGTGTGGACAGCGCCAATGGCAAGTAGGGTGTGCTGCGATAGATTGCGTGGCCTTTACATGTGTCCCACGAGCCGACGTGTGCACTCCCTGCGTGATATGCCAAGTATTGGTGCGAGTGCGGATGCGGGTGTGGATGAGTGTGCGAGAGCGGCTGTGGCGGTTGTTGTGCCATTGCTGCATATATTGAGCTCTGCTTTGCATCCAAATATTCCTGCTGGCTGATTGCAGGGTCCTGTAGCGGGTAGATGACATAGTCAACGTCACTATAGAGTTGCTGCTGGTACAGCTCTAGCTGCTTGCGTGCCAGTTGATTTCCATAAACACCGGATAGCTGAGTGGGCGGTGGTGGCGGTGGTGGCTGGCGGGGCAGACTGGGTGGTGGCGGTGGCAGAAATTGTCGATGCTTAATCACTGGTAAAAGTACACACGTTCTTGGCGACTGCTTTATTTCCGTATACGGGGGCGGTGGCGGGGGCGGCAACGATGACATGCTGTTATGTGTACCGTGTAGGCCATAAGGAACGATTGGTATGCCAATGTTGTTCGAAATGACGCCTGCGCCTACAGCGGCTGCGGCCGCAGCATGCGCCATGGCAGCCGCCGAAATGGATGATTGCCTTGTGGCTGATGTCGGATGATGTTCACCGCTTAGCGAAACCTGTGAGCCGCTGATGTAATGAGAATTGTGCACAGAATGCTGGGAAAAATGGCTTGGTATGTGACGGCTGGAAATAGATCCGGTCGCTGATACCATCGATGAGCAATGCGTCGGTGCAGCATAACTGGGTTTCTGGTTATCGTTAATAACACTGGTATGGGCTTTGAGAATGTTGATTTGTGGTCGCGTAGTTATGAAACGAGCTGTGACCTCTTCGGCTTTTAGCGAGCTCAATGAGCCGCTGGTTGAGGTAACCGCATTGCTGGAATGATTTAGAGAAGATGTGCATGAGGCTAACGACACTAAAGACGTGGGTCGGGGTTTCGCTGTTGTGGGATATGGCGGTGGGTCACGTCGGCGCACAGCGGATGCTGTTTTAAGCGAAGCCCGTGGAGTTGGTGTGCTACCGACTGCTGTCTTATTAAACTCAACTGGAATGGTTGGCGATGGCACTTTGGAGAAGTTTGGCGTAATTTTCGCTTTTGTAGTGTCTTGAATTGGCTTTAGTGCCAGCGGTGGGCACACTGGTGGCCCACATAGACCGGTTTTTTCATGGCGTGCATGATATGGCGGTGGTGAACGCATCGGTATAATGCTTAGACTCGTAAGATTTGTTGGCTGCTTCAGGCTGTTACTGTCGATACGTTGAGGAGGCGCTGGTGGATCCGTCGGTATTAAATCGTTAATTAGGTCTTCGACCTGATCTTCAGTGGGTGCAGTATCTTGATGGCCTTGAATGTAGGATTCACCTGTAATGGGCAATGGCAAAGTGACGTAATCGCAGTCTGAGTCTAGGGTACCAGACACTGTCTTCCGATTGGGATACGTACCACGCCCAACGATTAAATCGGTTAATTCCTCTGCGGAAAGTAGGTTATGTTTGTTGTCGGTTGGATCACTACCATCACCGCGGAACGAACCACTTGTGCTTACGTTGGAGTCTGACCGCAGGCGGAATTCTTCGTTCTTGATGCGTTTGCCGAGGTAATTTCCACCATCGACTGAATCCCGATTTGAGGGGCTTTCATGCAAATTATCGGCGTCTATTTCACCTTTCGTCGGCTGGAAAATGCCATAATGGGAACTTTTTTCAGACTCGGCAACCTCTGACGATTGCGCTGTCATTTCGCTGCTATGCATCGTGTATACACCAGAGGTCTCAGTGGGCGGTGCGCCGTGGGCTAGCGTGTAAACGCCAGAAGCGCTCTCGTTTTCGTCTCGCGTAGAAGATGTGAAATCGTGGTCAATGCAAGTGGATTCTGCCTCACTGAGTATGGAATTTTGTGCTGTGTGACTAAAACCCAATTCCAGACTACTCGACGTAGAGTTACGTCGCTGTAATGGCGTAGAATTCATCGCAGAATGGACAGCTAACGATGTTAGCGTATTTGTTATTGAATCTGTGCTAGGCAAAACCACAACGGTACTACAGGTCGAAGAACACTGTGACCCAATGTTGTGCTGCGAACTTGGTGAGTCAGTAGCAGTTGAAGAATCAGCTGCGCGCTGGGATGCTTGATTCGAGCTGCTGCTGGAAGAGTTTCCCGCTGAGGCGTGACTTCTTTCTGCGGGCGATTCATCGCCAGAGTTAGCAGAATTCGAGTGCTGCTTTTGACGTTCCTGACGTACAGACAGCGCCGCTAACTGCTCTTCCAGGTCTTTCAATGAAACTTGGCCGACTGATGAAGTTTGTCTGCTGACGCTTGGACGATCTAGTAGATGTGCCAATGCCAAACTTTCCGTAGATGGTGCTGCAATCGGTGCAGGTGGTGTATTTATCATTATCTCAACCTCATCCTCAGAGTGAACGCGATCGCTGACAATGCCCGAAGTGGTGTTAGAACTAGTGCTCGAAATGACCGATATACGCTGGTCGCTTTTGTTTTTGTAAGGCAAGTGCAAACTGCGTGAATAAATATAGCAAGCATGAAGACAATTGCTCTCTTCTTCTTCGCGCTTAATGACCTCTTTCAGACGGGCGGCTATCTTCATGCTAAACTGATGGGTTTCGCGGCACAGCGTCAACAACATTTTGTTTTTTTCATCCGAGGTGGCATAGAGAAGGATCTTACAGTCGCCAGAGCGTATCTCGAACTTTTTCCGCTCAAATGAAAGCTTCGTTATGTTCGGCCATAGGAAGGTGGTTGGCTGTTGTATGTTTTCAACGGAGTTGAAAATTTTTATACCCTTTGAATAAACCACAAACCACGAGCTGCCCAATCCGTTTTCACTTTTTGATGTACGCATTCGAAAAATATGCGCATTGACGCACTCATGCACCATACTGGAATGCTGAATGTAGTGCAATTCTGCGTCCGCCGCTGACATGCCACGATTTTCACGATGACAAGCCAGCAGTGCACTCAGCGCCCATGCGGTGCACAGCTCGCCAGGCAAATAGTCTCTCAAGCTGAAATACTCTTGCAGTGTAGACTGTGCCTGACCCAGTGCTGATAGTGACGTGCTCGACGACGTTGTTGGTGGGGTATTCGATGAACTACTGCGATTAATTGAAGAAATCGACGAGGAAGTTGAAAATGAGGCTGCCATTACGCCCAGGCTACGCTTCAAACTACCACTAATGGGAAAAACTGATATGGACGACGAGCTCGTGGAGGCAGGCGTTGATATTACCGCCGCTTCCTCTTTTTCCCTTTCCTTCTCCGATTTTGTTTTAATTTTTGTGCAAGAAACTGGCGCAGATATATTTGATATTGAGGCTGTAGAATTTCTTGCCGTTAAAAAATTGGGCAGACGTAGCACTCGATCATTTTCACTACTTAGGCGTTTGTTGATCTTTGGCAATGTTGTTGTTGCTGTTGCTATTCCAAAAGTTGTCCCTTCCGTGTTAGTTGTAGGCGTTGTAGTAGTCTCTGTACTTCTTGCCGCTGCATTTGTGACTTCATTTGTGTTGGCCGTAGGGTCTGTAATATGCGAAGTGAGCAAGCCTTGATGGTCACACTCCACATTACCACCACACCTGCCCTCTTCTGTTACAAGCGATTTAAATGTTGTGCCCTTTGAAGTTGTTGTTTTTGTTATCGTGGTTGCATTGGTTGTTAGTCCAGCTGATGGTGCCTCACCCAAATCTGCTTGTAGCGCTAATCCGGCGAGCAATATCATCGACTGTTCGGAATATTCTTTAGGCATTTCCCGTTGTAGAGCATTATATTTTAATTGTAGGTAGTAATTGTGACGGGATATCTCATCTTTCAACAGAAATGGGCTCTCGATATAAAATTGCACATGGAAATGTAGCTCCAGAAGTGGTCGCCCATTGGCATCGAGGCCCTAAAAAGTGAGAAGAATATTAATATTGGCAGAGGAATGTGAAAATCGCTGGCTGGTCGATTGTCGTCAGTCTATATTATCTTCAACGCCGTGCGAAAGAATAACTTAACTCGTTGAATTACCATAACTTTGTATTTAACCTCATAGACGTAAGGCAAACCTAACACAGAAGAGTCTATTTATTGTATCGTACAATATTAAGCTATTCTGTCTTTCGCACGATGTTCAAGACAGGATAGATTGACGGCTAAGGACCTCTTGATACATAGTTGCTCGGGCTGCACAATTGTCAGAGAGGCCATGTTTTATGCGAAAAAAGCATGTTTGAAAACTGTGATAAATTAACCGGAATAAAACTATTCTTATTCAGACATGTTCAAAGAACTCAACACTGATTAATATTTTCAATAATGTCTGCTGAGCAAGCCGTTGAATCCGCTTATTACAACGAATTCGATCGTGGATCGTTATAGTTAATTTCAAACTAGTTTTTGAAAACTCAAAATGCAAAATCCAATATGGCGTCCGAGATTTAAATAAGTTATTGAATTTTCAAACCTGAATAACTTTATTTAAAACTGAGAAAACTTAAGTTAGAAAATTACGAGTTTCGTATAAAATAAAAAAATCTTAAAAAAACTAGGGGCCTATGTCAAATTGTTTGGGCTCAACATATATTTAGCAACTATCCTCTATTTATAAATATAATTACTGTTATTATTTCATAATTTTATCATAAATTCATTTTAAATATGCTCCTTCGAATACACTAAATCATAAATTTGGCTAAACAAATATATTGTGTTACTCTACTGAAAGTTACAGCTCAGTAGAGAGTTGTTAATTGAATAATTTTGAACGTGATATAGAACTCGCAATCAGTGAGCCTTAAAACCTAGTACGCTTAATTCTCGGGAAACTTTCCTGATTTCCAGAGCAATTGGCAGCCCATTCGACAGCTGTCAACTTTCAAAGTTTTAATTTGACGTAAGATTCGTGACTAGCGTGTCAATCCCTTTATCAATAGCGTTTTAAAAAATATTTTCTTATTTTTAGAAAAATTAACAGTCCATTTAACAGATGTCAACTCTCAACATCTCAACAGCATGTCTAAAAACCTTATCGGGGGCATTTTTGAAAATACTGTCTCACTTTTAGGAAAATTCACAGTCCATTTTGACAGCTGTCAACTGCCAATGTTTTGATTTGACATCAAATTCGTGACTAGCAAGCCTAAAAACCTAACCAGTGGTATTTTCAAAAAGATTTATTATTTTTACAGAATTTTTCAACTGTCAAACCAAAAATTGTATGGCATATTCGGATTTAGCATAACAAAAATACTACAATCCTGCATTTTTATTACAATCGTAACAGCCCTTCTAATTTTTCGCCTAAAACCTAGCTTCTCCGACCACTGTGGGCCGTCAAAATGTAGTTTAGATGACTTACGTGTGTGTGCGAGGATCTCCAACTTTTCGGGCCGTATTTGGAGAGTTTGCTCTCTGGATCCGCAAACATGTATTCGCCATCTGTAAATTAAAAATATTTGTTTTAAATCTGGTAATAAAAAATGTCGCCTTTTTATTACACCTTTCTCTTTTCGTGTTCGATTCTAAAAAAAAGGCAAAGAGTGAGAAAGTTTTGTGTTCGTTTCTTGAAATGTCACATAAGATATTATGGACTATCGTTGAATCCATCGTAGTCCGACTTGCTACAAATGCATGCATTCAAAATATATGCCACGTTGGTAGCTATTTGGATTCAGCGGTAGCATTTTCGTGGATTTTCGAAAAATTGGACTGCGATGGATTCAGTGAACCCTAATTTTGAATTTGTATCAGAGAAAAAACAAATATCTCTATTGAGGATTTAGAGAAAAAAACTTTTTTGGCATATTATTATTGATTGAGACTTAAATAGGAACTGCCATAAATTTTAAATGTTTACGATTTCTTATTTTGCCGTTATGTTATGTTGCTTGTAAATGTTTATAAAGTGCCTAACAAAAACCAAGAATAATTTTCAAGGGTTGATGTTTGTATTTCATTATTTAATAATTTCTTTATTTCATTTCTTTAATAAATTTGATAACCTAAATTCTTTTGTTAAAAAAATATGCTTTATTATGGATATTTCTTTTAACACATAACCGCTTTAAGCAACATTTTAAAATGTTTGTTGTGCAAACTTAGTCACAATGCAAATATGCTGAGGAGTGCATAAGGTAGATAAAGAGAAAGAAACGAACAATGGATTCATATGGTTCACACTTGCGTACTTCACACAAAAAAGAGTATATAACAATTTAAACCGACCCGCACAACCCACCCCTTGTGGGCGCCAATGATAGATACGTTTGTGGTTTAGTTAGCCATAAATTTCCTTATATGACTTTGAAATACACGTCGCCATTATACGATTTGCATTATAAGATTTTAACCAAGCGCTCGCAGAGTGAACAAACGTTCTCTTTGTTCTGAAATACATCTCCAAGATGCTTTGCTTTACCAGGTTGACCTCCATATATTCTTCTGTAATATCACTGTGAATTGTTACCAAAATAGATATGTTTGAGGTCGAAGTGGTTAGGAAAGAGATTAGGCCCTATCAGCTTCGCCCGTATCATTATTGAGCTCGAATACTTATTTTACTCCGTCGAACACCCCTCGGAACGAACTGCAGTGGGTTGGAAGCTTCTAATCGAAATTGACGAAGGATCCTCTGCAAAGGCAAACACCAATATTGTCGTCGTACCTTCAGTCGTTCACTAAAAAGCTCCCTAAAGCCTGAGTCCATAAGTAAAATCAGGTCTATTTCATCCTCTAGAAAATATATTTAGGTAAAGAATAATCTATTTAATCCAAGGATCCATCGAAATGTTGATTTTAACGTAAACAAGCTTTCTGTTGAAGCGATCCAGTTTTTTATCGCTTAGGTAATTATCAAAATTATTTTATTTTCATTTTTCACGAAAACGAAATCCGATGGCTTGTACTTGATTAACAAACGGTTGCATACCTTTAGGCATATTTTAATTTCCTCAACAGTGGGGACTAAAATAAATAACAACCTTTTTTTTTGTTTGGTTCTTCATAAAGCTATAGCCAACCATTCAGCGCACCTGTACACCAAAGCCAAATCCGCTAAAAAATCGGAAGGAAGATACTTTTATTAAGCAAATTTTATGTTAACGTATTTCCTTGCTTATTAATTTATTAAACGAATTTAAAAAAGTTAAATAAAACAGATTGATCAGTGAATTATATTTAACTTCTTTTAATTTGGTTGAATATTAAATATGCAAGGGAATATGTTACCATAAAATGTGTTTGATGAAAGTATCTTCATTCCGATTTTTTAGTGGATTTGTATTTGGTGTACAGGTACGCTAAATGGTTGGCCATAGCTGTATATGATAAATTAGTTAATTTCCATTTAATTTATTTGACAGATTTTACAAGGCGCAATTACTTGATTTCGATATGATTTGCTTATAAATTACAAATTAGCCGTAAATAACGATAATGTGAAAATACTTTTAGCTCTGAAACGTTCAATAAATTAAACATAAATGAGATAATTTATCATACATCAAGAACGAAATGAAGAAAAAAATACTGGCAATTTACTTTAGCCCCAAGAACCCCCCCCCCCCCCCCCCCCCCCNCCCCCCCCCCCCCCCCGCTGTTGAAGAAATTTAAAAAAATGCCTAAAGGTATGTATCCATTTATTTTTTTAAATCAAGTACAAACCACACACTCATACCTACACGTGCTAATCAGATATCTGTAGAAATTATGAAATCAAGCCTGAACGCACTTGATTTATGTGAAGTAATTTGATGGAAACAGTAATTTATGCTGCAATGTGAACATAGTTTTAGACTGCGGATGCATATGCAGAAAACGAAGCCCAAAAATATGTGCCCCATAACTTTAAAGAAAATGTATACAAATATATTTTTTTGCCTATAGTTAAGTGGCACATATTTTTAATCTTCGTTTTCTGCGTAAACATCCCCAGTCTAGTTATTATATTCCATACCTAGAGCCAAAGGGAGGAGCTAACTTAAAAATCAGATCCGGAATCGTACATATTCAACGCAATCCATACAAAACAGTTAGTTAGTGAATGTACATACATAATCCTGAACAAAACATATTTGCATTAATTGGAGATATTCCATACCTAGAGCCAAAGGGAGGAGCTAACTTAAAAATCAGATCCGGAATCGTACATATTCAACGCAATCCATACAAAACAGTTAGTTAGTGAATGTACATACATAATCCTGAACAAAACATATTTGCATTAATTGGAGATAAGTCTGATGAATTGATTTACGCAAAAAATCGTCCTATTTTTTTTCGAGTTTGCTCTCTTTTGAGCTACATAGGTGTGCGATATGTTAAGGTATGTTTGAAAAAACGTTTTTGTTGAAGAAGAAACAATAACGTGTCGAAACCAAAGTTTTTGTTTTAAAATCAACTGCCGAAAAGGTCCAAATTTTCACCCCGTAATAAAATTATTTTCATAAGCTATTACTTATTGTTTGTTGAGCATCCCTGATTCAGACTCAGTGTCGGCGCACAAATTAAAGCACGGACAGCGACAGATTTGCATACAGCGCAAGGTGCAGGGACACAGCATTTATAGTGGATACCCTGCAACAATAAAACCTCTTCAATTTGTGGATATGTAGTGTGAAACTTGAAATTGTCGTACAAAAAATGGAGAAAGACCTACAGTTTAACACTGCTCTTGAAAGGCGGACGGTTTTTTCTATCTTTGAGAAGCTTTTTCAGTAAACCATTTTCAGTTTCAGTTTTTCGTTTTCTCAATAATTTTAAGATTCTTACTTTCTGAGCTAGGATTGAAACCATAGACTTTGGATCGGTTGGCGATGTGGCACACAATCGTACGCAAGCTATGATAATTCTATGTACTTGGCTTGGTAGGTACATATGTATGTACATATGTATATATTTGCTGTGAAAGGAGCGGGCAGCTGCATCGGCCCATCGTCCGACGCACGTCTGCATGAATTGCCCATTTCAACATTCTTCGGTTTAGGTGTGGAGGTCCATATATACTACATATGTGTGTAGACTTGCACGCATAGCTACCTCTTGTGTTAGGTTTTGTTTTATTTGTTTTTATCATTGGTGTTTTCGCGAGTTTAGCTGGATTCTGATTTTATTTTTTGAGACGTTTGCTTGCACCTCTTTGCATGTTTTTTATATTCATATCTACACACATTTCACACATATGCACAAATATATACATATGTATGTATGTATGTATGTATATATGGTTTTGCTTTTCCTTTTCTTTTTTTTTCGAAAATAGTTGGTTGGTTGGTATCAACTGCCATTATAATTTTTTTTGTTGTTGTTGTTGCGTTTCGTGTTATTTGTTCATTGTTTTCGTTGCTTTCGCTATTGCCGTTTTGGGTGGACTCGTCGGTGGTGGTGAATACGCGATACTGGTGCTTTTTATTGTTGTTTCTTGTTGCTTGCTTCATGATTCTTGTCATTTTTGCCATCACAACATACCAACATTTTCTCTTCCATTTATTGTTAATGGTGCATAATCATTATCGGCAGGTAGCGGCAGCCAAGATAATGGCGACTAAAGCAGATTCAACAACAACAACGACAACAGTTCAACAACAATAGGAACTCGATGTTTTAGATTCTTGCTGCGGTCGTTATGGTTGTTTCAATTTCGTTTTTTTTTATTCTTGTACTTATATGTTTTTTTTTGGTGGCCGTTGATCGCGTGCAACCGATAAACATCGGAAATTAAAATTCCTCAGCTATGGCTTTAACTTTAGACTTTTTGTTGTTGTTGGCTGTATTGTTTGCTGTTGTTACCTGCTGCTGCTGGTTTTGACGTTTATATTTTGAGGCCATGTGTATGTGTGCGTTTTTGGGTTATGTGTGGCTCACACAAAATTTAGTTAAGAGGAGGCAACTCACAAATAAAAAAATCCAAGAATTCCATGGTGTCATCTGGTCAGGCATGTTTAATAAATTACAGATTAAAAATCAGAGAAATAATATAAAAATCGTTGTTTGATTTGAATAAAACTGTGTACTCTTTGAAAGCTTCCAGGCTATATATGATTTAAAAAAGTAAAGTAAGCCTTTCATTGAACCGTTCAAGAAAACTTTTTTTCTTCTACACGAGCGAGGAGGTTTAATATTACCTGCTCAGGAATGGCCGACCTTAGAAACCAATTTTTTTTTATCATTTCTATGTTGCGCGGATTAGGCATAAAATCTTTATCCACTCGACCATAGCGGTCACTTTCACCAATCGAACTGATATCATCGTGCGACAGTCAATTTTACACACAAAAAATCAATATTTTCGCCAACCTGCTACTGACGCCAGAAGTTTTTTAAAGGACTTTGAAATTACAAATTTTGGATTAATTCAAAAAATTATTCAAACATTTCAGTGCAACATACAATCAGAATGTGGATATCAAATAAGAGAGAAAATCCGGTATAACTAAAAAAGA